TGTTTTGGGACAGGCATATTGAGGAATGATGGCGTCTGGAGCAATGCATGGAGGAGCGTTTTGACGGACATTCTTTTGTCGAGTGTCCGTGAGGAAAGACAGTTGTAACAGAAGTCGCCTCGTCTTCTTCTTAAGCGTTCTTTGGTATTTCTATGCTAGGACATAAAGACGAGCTGTGAAGACTGCTGCCACACAATGAGCACTTTTGCTAATTTGGCGATTTGCTGGATTCTGGAGTGTGGTACTTCTTCTTGAAACGAGCTAGATTTAGTTTGACGATGTAGAGCAGCGTGTATGTGAGTGTCATCGGAATAGAGATTGTGATCCTCCATTTCTTCTTGAGTTGATTCCTTTCAAACAATTTTCGTAAGAATCTGGAGAAGTTCCCTGGGCACAAGGTTTTCGTTATTCCCTTATAGTCGTAGATACGGCTGCGAATATGTCGAGGAAGCTTGTTCAATAAGACTTTGTCGCATGGTGATAAAGAAGCTAGACGAGTGTACAGGATGTGTCGTATTGTGACGTGGTCGTCGAATGATTCTTCAAGATCTCAACAGCTATGGGATAATTCGTTGACGTAATTGATAACCTTTGATTGTTTGTAGTGCTTTACCTCGCAAAGTTGACTTCAAAAGTGAGAGTTTTGTGGCACCATCCAATTGAGGTTTGTCTCCGACTAGAGTAGAAAAGCGAGCCCAGTGTTCTGGAAATTCCAAAAGATTGCCTTCGAAAACGGGAAGATCCTGTTTGCTAAGTATTGGGGCATCGACGAATGACAGATTTTGAGTTGCTGTTGAAAGTGGATGCTGGATACGTGGTTGTATATCGGTAGAAACTGCAGCGGCAGGTAGTATAGGAGATGACATTGACTGCTCTGTCGACTGCAGTGATTCAGCATCAGATTCCGTATACGGGTTGAATTCTAGTTTTCTTTTCTCGATTTCTTTTTCTTTGAATGGTCGCTCATTGTCCAACTTTTGTAGAGTAGAAATGGCATCATTGAAAAGTTTACGGAAATCGCCATATTTGTTTATGTAAATCTGGAGAGTACCTTCTTCTTCTGGATTTGTTTCCAATAGCTGTTGCCATTTTTTCCATAGACGATTCATGTGGGAGTATGACCGATATAGTGAGTCGTGCGCTGATGTGGTCTTCGTAGATGTTGAGCAAATCGTCATCTCTTAGTTGTTGGAGTTGTTTCGGCTCGATTTGTGTAGTTTGTGCCTCCTGGAGAGATTTGCGCAGTTGTCGCTTTGCTAGTCCAACTTGCTGTCGAATGATGCTTGACATTTTAGCGTATCACGGGATGTAGAATAGAGTCGACGGTCGTTCCACAAGGTAATGATGAGTAATGACGAGGACGAGGGTAGCCAGTAGTTCGAATCTTCCTTTAAGGATGAAGAATTGGAGTGCCTGTGCGGAATATGAAGTTCCGAGGATGGGTTGTGGACGTAGGTTGCTGTAGAAGTAGGCATTTGAAATGTGATGCATATCACCCGAAAGGCTCTCGAACGCTGACTCCAAAACTGTACTCCATATCTGCTGAACGATTCTCTGAACAAAGTTACGGAACTTGTTGTGATACGGAGCAGACCCAAGTTCAGCACGAATACGATACGCATGCATTGCTCGGATGTGGAGCGGTGGCCTAGTGGATACTATGCTGGTCTCGTTAACGCTGGTCAAGGGTTCGGGTCCTCGGTGGAAACCGGTTTTTGCACTTTTTCTAAACTATGCTCAATACGTTTGCGAACCACTTTAGCACGCTTAGGGAACCTCATCTTGCCAAAAACTGCTGCTTCCAAGGAAATTTGACCGTTTCAGACAATTCACTCGTAGTCTTCTGATCACTCGTTTCTTCTATACACCAAGCAAATTAAACCCGTGAATTTGCTAAAAAAATAACAGTAAACAGGGGTAGAATGGTATGTTGAGGAAGAGTCTCATGAACATTTTGCACGAAAACCAAGTATACATATGGGAACAATTGCTAGCGAAATTGAGATTTGAACCTTTACTTCGAAAAGGTACTGCGACGCGGTAGCCTCGGGCAGCAGTCAATGTCAGGAAGAGGTCCTTGGCGACGCGGGGCTAAAACTGGAGGTTATATCCATGTGGGGCCTTTCACTGTCCCTATTCATGGAGTTTCAACGATCAGAATCTTCTTGTCCACACAAGTTGTACTTGCGGGT